CGACTACAAAGTAATAGAAAAATAGTAATGTTGGAATCAGTTCCTACGTCACATTTTAGTAAATATCCCGACGACGCTACCGATCCACATGATACGGCAGTAATAAGCAAATTCATTTTCAATTTGGTGCGAAAATTTTTTCTTTGCAGGATGGGAGGTACAGTAGTCAGATCGGCTGACAACTCATTGAAAGTTATGACCTACATTAACAATAGGCATTGTTTAGCTGGTTTATTTTTGAGGACCTGTGGGTTTTTTGACATCATTTGATTCCTCATATTTGTTGCTATCGATCTATTGCTATCTCATATTGATTTTTAGCGTCGTTGTCAAGATATTTGCCGAATTGTGAAGTTGAAGCTCATTTTTTAATTGCTACTTTTCTGTAATTTTTATTGAAAATCAAAGATGTTTGAATCATAAGATTTTTTTCTCTTTTTGCACGTGATATGGATAATGAAGAGATTTTGAGATTTAGAGCGCTGACCGAAATATGACGTTGGCGCTGATTCCAACATCACTATTTTTCTGTTACTTTGTAGTCGAAATTCAGGTTGTTAGAAACAGAATTTCTCTGGTTCTTTGCGTGTAGGTTCCTTGAACTGTGTTCTTAAAGAAAATAAATTTTTATAGGGGGATTGCTGAGCTTTTTTTTTGCAAACTTGCTATTTGTAAATGCAGGTAGGTTGGTTTTTCGCGTGAGTAATTAATTTTTTTTACTCAATATTTCATTTATATCAACTGTTTGTACAGAATTTGCTATTATTATGCTTGTCGCAGTTGCAACTGTGCGCTGCTTCTTGAATTTTTTGCATTTTCTTGTATTACACAGAAATAGGTACAAATTAAGAGCAGAAATCAGCCCCTAACTTGCATTCCAGCGAATGATTCAGCTAGAGCACTAGATTTAAGTAAAATTCAGCTGTGTAGCCACAAGTGTGACGAATAGAATGGTGCCAAATTCAACTCAGAGTTCTCAAAATAAATCACTCAAAGACTCCTCAGTTCAGACTTAAGCCGGCGTTTTTTCCAGCGTTCAGCAAGAGACATTACGGTATCCCCTTGCTGTCCCCTATTATACACAAAGAAAGAGTAGCAATGGGGTCTTCCACATATTCGTAAGGTTCCTTCACGTTTTCCTATATTTCAGCAGGAAAATGAGCTATTCTTGTAAAAAAATAACTCATTTTCTTGCTGAAAGTTAAAAGCTAAAATGAGCTGTCAATAAAAACATACATATTGCTATATCATATTGATCGGTAGCGTCGTCGTCGGGATATTCACTAAAATGTGACGCAGGAGCTGATTCCAACATTACTATTTTTCTATTACTTTGTGTCAAAATTCAGGTTGTTAGGAAAATGGGATTTTTTTGACATATTAATTATCTACGATAATTGACGATTACAA